TAAGAGGTCCCTCTGCCATTCTTAAGAAGTTAACTTAATATGTATATATTTTTTTATTATACAAATTATATTTTTCATATAAAATAAAAAAGGTCAGGTTAAGTATAATTAGGTTCACTGTAGCTTAAAACAGCTGATCCTAATGATGTAGTAGTATTAAAATAAGCATGTTCAATATTTTTCTTTTACAGATGACATTTGCGTCTCTTCTAAGCCTGTGACATACTGCTGCGAGACATGCGTCATATGCTGTTTTGATGTTGACTTTCCATTAAAAGACAAGTATCTAAAGTGTTTACATTATAACAGTGGAACAGTAAACCTTGTTAATCGTGCCGTCTCTACCATGAAATTAAATGCCTGCCCTTCCCATGTTTATCATTCCCACAGTTTTCAACACTGTGGTCTTCTATTTGTACAGGCCATGTTTCTGTGTGAGAGAGAAATGTGCTTTGTTTGATAAGACCTTGACTAAAACGTTTTCAGACAAGTAGCTGCAATGTAATACAAAAAGCTACAAAGCATGTTAGTCACTTATATCACGGTAAAAGGTAGAAATACATTGTCCTTCCTCTTGGTTATGTACCTGCACCACATGGTATACCAGTATTCCAGTTTCAAAGCTCAAATTCTCTTCCAAAATATTTTGTCAGAGCTTGAGGTCTCTTTCTTCTCGTTTGCCAGAAACAACGATAGAGAGAAGAAGATATATTCGTGTGTGTGTGTGTGTGTGTGTGTGTGTGTGTGTGTGTGTGTGTGTGTGTGTGTATATGTGCTTGTGAGCCATTAACTGGTCTTTTTCCAGGTGGTCAGTCTGTATTCTAACCTTGATAGAGTGCCTGATAAAGAACAAACTACAAACAAAAACCTGCGTCTGTGGCTTCACTACAAAGTAAAACAGGTGTACACTTAAAAAGAAGGATGTATACATTGCTATGTGAACCCATTTTATGTCTTGGCTATTTTACCGAGCCCCATGATAAGCACAGATGATGACTGTCTCGCCATTAGATTGCTTTTTTTGCGGGTTATGTAACTTTCCCATTAAGTATAAGCAACAACAGATGTGCTTTGGATCAATATTCCTGCATGGCCAACCATCTCTTTTAGATATTTGTCTTTCAACAAGTTGCAATATAGGAAATGCTTGTTTTTGCTTAAATAAAATAAGAGGACTGTCATGAGTTTGACCCTGAAAACGACTATCATCACTCAAACACTGACATCGGTATAAACAGCACGAAAACTGTGCACGGGGCATGGAAAAATATCAGGTGTCTGAACATGATGTTTAAGCTGAACATGATGGATTGTTTCTTCACTGTAAAAGAAAATAATTGGAAAGAAGCACCTGGAACAATTTATAAGAAAAAGCCACACATCAACATACTGCTACCAAACCAAGACTTGCAGAGCTTTTCTCATAATTTAGGAGCGAAAAATGAATCTTTACACAAACAAAAAGCTTCTGAGACTCCTCATAAAAGCCCTTTAACATTGCATTAAAGTGTTCCTATTGGGAGCTTTTGTTCAGTCTGTGCGTGCTGAACCAGCCAGTTTAAATAGTTATTTCTGTTAAAGAGATAGAGGACCTGACAGCCCCTGACAGCGCTCAGGCTGACGGTAAAGTCTGTAAAAATTCAAACCAATAATCCAAAAGGCTGTGGACCTCAAGCAGATAAGAGATTGTTGTACTGACTACACTATTTATTCCTAAACGCACAGTTAACAAACATCCTATCAATAGATTATTAAGACACCAAATTGCCTCTAAAAAAAAATCCTTTCTAAAATATGAACATAAATCATATTTTGGCAGTGGTTACCAAAAGATGTCCAATAATAATTCTGCATCTCTACGAACAATTACACTGTATATGAATATAGGCATTATGTATTTAGTGTAACACTGTCCCCCAGAGGGCAAAGAGGGCTCAGTATTGAAAAGTGTAATTTCCTGGTACACAACCTGATAATCCAAGTCATATTTGTTTTGCTGGGGGAGACACAGCTTTTATTATATATCATTGCAATGTCTTATCTGTCACACCCCCAGGTTCATGTCACGGGTTTTAGTGTTGTCTGTCTAGGTTTGGGTGTTTGCTGTCATGTTTTTCCTCCTGGGTTATTGTCTGGTCCTTTTCCCTGTGTTTTTCATGTCTGTCGTTAGTTCCCTGATGTGTCTAATTCCTTGATTGTTTTCACCTGTCACTCCTCGTGTGTCTCCTGTGCCCATCAGTGTCAGCCCCACCCCTGATTGTTCCCACCTGTGCCTTGTTACCCTGAGTTTAAATTCCCCTGTCTCCCAGTGTTCAGTGTCAGTTCGTCTTGTCTATTGTCATGTCAGGTCTATGCTTTTGGAACTCTTTGGTTTTTGATTCCTCACTGCGTGAGCGCCTTCATTTTTTGTCCTCTGTTTTTTGTCATCTCGACTGGAGTTTTGGTGATTACCTTTTTGTTCATTTTTGCTAAATCATGGAAAAATAAAGTATCTCACAATACTTTACCTCTGCCTCCCTGTCTGCATTTGGTCCCTACATACTAAGTGCCTGGAATCGTAACACTAATGCAGTTGCACTCTTCAGTAATCCCTTTGTAAATAAACTAAATGGGAAAAATAATAATGTCCACCTTCTAAAACATAAACAAGCTACATTCAAAGTACAATTGTTCTGCCTTTGCAGAATAATACATGTTATGTAAATAATGATATCATATCAATTTCTGTAGGATTTACTCCATCCTTCTGTTGGCAGTGATGTTCTTGAAAAAGCATCTGGGCATTACAAATATTTGTAGGATCCTAATGCTCCAGTTTCATGGTCCTCTGGGAGAATCTCTCTATGTGAGTGTGTGAAAGCACCGGGAAGAGAATGAGGTCAGGCACTACAGCCACTGAGAGACGGGCACTTTGATTGTCCCACGACATCTCCTACTCTGTCAAAATCCATCTCTAACAAAAAGGCTTCTTCAAACTGCTTGGGGGAATAGAGACCTGCAGGCTGTAAGTGAGAGGAAGCCTGCAGCTCTGATTGTACTCACTGCCTCCTCCATCTTCAATGCTCATGGAAGGGAAAGGGTAGTGGTCTAAGTGCCATGCCCTGTCAACTTTGTTCTATGTTCTCATCGGGGAACCTTCCAAAGTGGATCTAATATGAAGAACGCTGAATCATATAAACATCTCCTAAATGTGTTCTTTGGTTAATATGTAATCCCTGTGCCTGTGACATTTCCTTATGAATGAGAAAAGGACAACCATATTTAACTGAAAGGTAACATGTGCAATGTTTGACCACTTGTAGCGCTGTGGAGCAATGTTTTAAAGAGTTGGTGCCTATTTTGCTTGACAAACACTCACATGGGAGACATGATACACATTCCTCGATGGTTTCATCATGCAGACTGCATGCTAGCAAAATATATGTAAAAATGCAGGTTTAAAAAGGTGAGCTATTTAACTTAGATTGGTTGTTGTAGCAAAACTGTGGTGTTTTAATGGAGTGCTACAGAACAATGCCATTAATATGTTCATCTATAACTGACCTTGCTCTGTTACAATTTCCCTTCTTTTTTAAATGTCAGTTTATGTATTACAACTCTTTTTTGAGTCCTACCTCAGGGATGCTCTGAGAAAACATTCTCTTGCACTATTTTATCTGTTTTATTTGTTATGTCCTATATTCATGTTGCACTGTTGGAGAAGCCTGTGACTCAACATGTTCGTTGGCATTTCTACAGCTACTGTGCTAATGACAATAAAGCCTTGAATATTGAA